GTGCTGCCGCCCAGGCTGCGCGCGCCATTCGCATCCGCTGGGCCTCCGTCCCCGGTGGCTTGCCTGGCAGAGCCCAGGCTGCCTCGCCGCTGGGTAGCAGAAGCGCGATTTTGCACAACTGCTCAGCTATCTTTGCGCCGCACGTGCACGCGCGCAGCACGCACGCACGTGCACGCGCGCCGCCACTGTGAAGCGGGGGCCCCCGTCAATGGTACGTGTGCGACCCGGCTCCCAGGCATTGAACAAGACAACCTTGCTCCAAACAACTTGAGCGGCAGTTCGACGGGCGCCGACATCGCACCGCCACAAGCGCCCACCTGTGAAGCGCCCGATTGCGATCAGCGCCGTCTGACCCACATTCGGGTCTTCATGCGCACCTGCCTCGGAGGAGCGCGCGACTGCTATGCTGCAGAACGGTGACTTCGGTAAGTGGTGCCGGACGAAGCCTGCCAGCAGTTTCGCGAGGACTGGGCGGGCACGTCGTTACTGATACGCACGGGCCCGTTGCCCGATTAATGGCCATCCCCAACTGGAGACGACGCGGCCGGATGCCAGAGGCTGCCTTCGCCGCGGGCGCTCTAATGGGCTTGCCTACTGGCCGCGCCGGGTCTCGTAGCACGCGCCCGATGTGAGCAAGCGTATGGCGATCTGCGTGCCCCAATTCGGACACCTCCACGCCAATGCGCCAAGACATCGCCAATCGCAGCACAACATGCAGGTGACCTTCGTTGGCGGTGGCAGAGCTTGCCGCTGGCAGGTCCGAGCGCTGGGCCAGCACTGCAAAGGCGCTGGCCATCGGCGGCTGCGTGCCCTGACCCGATTCACCGAAACAGCCAGTATGGCGGTGGTGCCAGTGGTGGTAATGGTGACAAGGCTGGCACTACTAGCGATCGTGGTGGTGGCTGACTGGGCGATTCTGCGCTCAGGAGGCGCAGAGGCTCAGGAAAGACAACGCGGAAGCCCTGAAAGACAAGCAGGCGGTGCCGGAACTCGATCGACTCGGCGTCCCGCACCTTCATCTCATCTTCGCCCTAGTGGGGGGCGATCATCCAGCAGGGAGTCGGATGCGGGGCCGCGAACCACAAGGCACTTTCAGACTTGCTCGAGACGATCAAGAACGACCCGTCCATCACCATCACCAACGAAGTCCTCTGCATGAAGATCCGCCACTGCCGCATCTCGTGCACGCACGATCGGAAGCTGATGAAAATACACCTGGAGGCACACGCGACAGGTATTCAGGCGCACTTGCTCGACTCCTTGAAGCAGCTAGGCGAGGACTTGATGCGGGCCACGCCGCCGACGAGTCACCGCGAGAGAGTCATGCAGATGTTGCTCCTCGACAGCGTGGAGGGATACTGAGCATCGAGATGACGGGCGGGCGGACCGCGAGGGCGGCGCCCACCCCGATGGCCAGGCCTCCACCGATTGCCGAGCCTGCTCCGACTGCCGCGCCCATCTCGATTGTCAGGCCTGCTCCGGTTGCCCAGCCGACCTCGAATGCCGTGCATACTCCGCTTGCGGCGCCGACCTCCACTGCGTTGCCTGCTCCGATTGCCTCGACCTCTGCTGTGGACGCCCGAAATGGGCACGGAAACAGTGGGCACAATGCCCAACAGCAAATGCTGTCCCGAACCAACAGCGGCCGCCGTTTGGCAGGCGGCCTTCTGTCTCCAATGGACAAACTCCGTGGCGACGCCGACAGCGAATCCTGTTCAAAATGATCAAGGACTGCTGTCGGTCTTTGTACCCATTCTTTCCGAACCCATGTCGGTCGTCCCGATCTGCGGGTACGTTGGCTACACCTTGCGAAATGCTTAAGAAATCATGGGTTAAGAAATTCATAGTCTCAGAACTTGACTAAAAACCCAAAATTTCTATTAAAATCTTAGGATTTACGTTGAAACATTAAGAATAATCGAGACCCTGGCCGAAAAATTAAGTTTTCTCAAGCATCGCCTAAGGTGTACGCCGTCAGCTTCACGGGGAGCAGATGGCCCCCACGCTGCGGGCTCCCGGCGTCCGACGGGTCCTCCGGCCAGGTTCGAGGCTCCGTTGCGGGCTCGCGCGGTGGGGGTCGTGAATCAGGTGAGGCCCGAGACCGCACACAGAGATTCAGAAGAGCGTTCCCTAGGGCTCCCAACTTCGCGCTTCGCGCTGCGCGAAGCGCGAAGCGCGAATAACTTCGCGCTCTCGCGCCGCCCTCCCAAAGGGAGAATAGGAGGACGAGGAGGAGGGGGAGAAGGAACGAGGACCGCGAAGCGCGAAGCGCGAATAACTTCGCGCCCTCGAGGGAGCCCTCGGAAGTTCCCGGGCGGTTGGCCGGGCTGGGACCCTCTCTCGCCTGCCCTTCCTCCTCGAGCCCTGCTGCTGCCGCTGCGGCCCCTGCTGCTCCCCGCCTGGCCCACTCGTCCTCCCTCGATGCCAGCAGTCTGAGACGTATCGGAGCCTTGCCCGAGAGACCTCGTAGTGACGCGCCTCCCTTACCGTACTGCAGTTTTGACCCCACCAGCTGGCTGGCCATCGCTTGGACGTCCATCCCCTGTGTTTTTTTCCGGTTTCGCGCGTGGCTTCTTCGCAGGAGGATCCAGGATGCCCCCTAATAATCCCCGCCGAGGAAAAACGCACACGTCCGAGCGACACCAAGCTGGCCTGGGAAGCGTCCTCGCCCGTGTCTCTGTTGCCTTGTGTGAAGGGGCCCCAGGACACACAAATAAATACACACAAATAAAAATGTTCCCCATATTTTCCCATATTTTCTAGGTTTTTGTCTTCCCCCCCACTTCCCATATTTTCCCATATTTTCGGGGAATCGCAGATTAATTGTGTCTGTGTGTTTTTTCTCCTCCTGAGCCTTGTGGTCGTGCTGCCGCCTGGCCGGGGCGATGCCCCCCTGGCCAGGGCGTGCAGGATCGGACCTCGCAGCTCGGGCCTGGGGCGCTCTGAGGAACGGAACTGGTCTCGTGGTGTGTTGGCAGAGCTCCTCCTCCTCCCCCTCCTCCTCCTCCTCCTCCTCCTCCTCCTCCTCCTCCTCCTGAGAGTGACTCTGTGTCGTTCCCGACTACTCTCTGATAGCAGCCCACCGATTTTGTGGATCTTCGGCGTCTCTGGATCCAGGGCTACCTCCGATCTGGACTCCAATGAGGCGTTCGAGCCCCTCTAATGCTATCCACCGCTTTTGGAAGCGCACTCGCGGAGCTTGAGCAAGCTTGATGTCTGCAGTTTCGGAAGTCTTGATTCGTGCCCCTGCTGAGCATGCCGTGCCTCATCTCGTCCATTTCTCCTCGGGGGGGACCATAGAGCTGTGCTTAGAGTCGGACCTGGGCCGAAAGAGCATCCCCTACTACATGAGACCCTCGGCCGGCCAAAGCAGACAGAACATCTAAAGGCACCCTCCCCAGGATGCACAAGAACATCCAGCAAACGCGGGGAACACTAGGGCATCCTCCCCGAATCGACCTCGATCTTATACCTGGGTCAGACTGTAATGGATTCCTCGTGTCTGCGGTACAAGCAGAAAACGCAAGCGTTCGCGGGCAACGCCGGCCTTCAGGCTTCGTCAGCTTGCTAAAGCGGACGGCTATCGCCTTGGCAGTTCCAGTGGGGCCTGCGGCAGAGAGGATCGAGCGAACTCTCTGGACACCATGAGCAAACGACAATGCATAATGCACAATTTCCGTGCCCAACCCGACTTGGACGAGGACAACAAGACCATGAGAGGACCAACATATCCCGCTCTCGCACGCACATGCAGATCTGAGCAGCAGGGCACAAGCAGGAGAGGGGAGGAGGGCAAGGACGGCCCAGAAGCGGGAGGATGTGGGGGAGGGAGGGAGGGAGGGAGGGAGGAAGCGAGGGAGAGAGGGAAGGAAGGAGGGGGCAGGGGCGGATGGGGGAGGACACGACAGTCGGGAAACATGGATCCAGACAGACTCAGCTCTCAGAATGACTCAGCCGCATCTCCCCAACAAGCGCCAGGAGGTGTGCGCATGTCGAGCGTGTGCCGGGCCGCCCTTCCGCGCTCGCCTGCACGGGCAGAGCTGTCCGGCGTGCGATCGACCACATCGCAGATCTACGCGCGCGACAAGCAAGCTCGTCCTCCTCCTCTTTCTCCTCCTCCTCCTCCTCCTCCTCCTCCTCCTCCTCCTCCTCTTTCTCCTCCTCCTCCTCCTCATCATGTGTACATCTGCACATCTGATGGCCTAGTTCTGTATCTACATAGGTGTACTTGAATACGTCGGTCAGCATGTACCCAAAGCAGCGTGGTTCCAGCAAGCTGTGCCGTTCACTGTGCGGGGAGAAACGTATGTGGTGCAGTCTATGTGGTGCAAGCTATGTTGCGCGATCTGTGTTGCGCGATCGACGTGGAGCAACATATGCCGTGCAGTATGTGTGGTGCAGTATATGTGGTGCAATCGTCACTGTGCAATATATGTTGTGCAATGTACGTGGAAACCACAGGTGGTGCATTGTCTGTTGTGCAATCTCTGTGATGTAATCGATGTGGTGTTTCCCACGTGGTGCAAGCCTGTGCAGTGCTATGAATTTCTGTTCGCTGTGAAAGAATAACACACTCCACTGCTGGCGCAATCGTCCCACCCACCTACCCGCACCTTGGTTTACAAAACCCATGCGGCGGCGATTGCGATGAGTGCTTGGAGTTGGCTGGTGCGTCTCTGCGGCCGCGGTGGCCCGCGCATGCTCGCGAGCGCAGCGGCCAGCCAGTGCGGCGCGACCGACGCGGCCGGTGGCGCTGGCCGCCGGGCACTTCCCAGCGGGCACTTCAGTGCAAGTCGCCGACTTGGGCGGGCACGGTATCATGGCAATTACATATTTTCGAATGCAAATGTAGTGTATAAAGTTAGCATGCCCGCGTGTACAATTATACTCATATGTATGTATGTATGTATGCATGCATGCATGCATGTATGTATGTATGTATAGATGTATGAATGTACGTATGCATGTATCCATATCCACATACACTAGAACCATCGCGCGCTTCGCGCGCGCTCAAATTCTAGCTAGGCTTGATCGGCCAACTCATGTAATCTCAGTTTGGTCGCTTCTTGCGTCCAAGCCTCGGGATCGTATAGAAAGGGAGGTGCGGAAACGCAGAAATTATGAATTTCCTCTAGGTATTCAACGATTGTGGTCCTTCAAATGCTTCCTGTTTTTTGGGGGGAGGTGAGAGGTCTGAAGTGTGGTCTTCGGCGATCTTCTGACCCGGGTCAATCCAGACCCGGGTCAGCAGGAAACCAAAAACTGCAATGCAGGAAAAAAAAACTGCAACGCAAATCTTCGCAAACCCGGGTCGGCCAATACGCGCGGCCGCCTCGCGGCCACGAGCGGCTCGCTGACCCGGGTCAGCCAGAGGGGGTCTTCGCAGGATCCTGCAGGATCTGGCGCCCTGGCTGACCCCCGTTTGCATTGACCCCCGTCCCGTCTCAAGGCTCCCGAGGTCTGTTGTGCAAGAGTAGGCCGGGGGCCAATCTTGAACAAAAAGAAGGAATTGTGGGACTTTCATGTGTTTCAGATCCTCGGCGCTGTTCGGCGACGTTTTTGGTTTGTGCCTCGCGGGTTTTGTTAGCAAGGGCTCCCAACTTCGCGCTTCGCGCTGCGCGAAGCGCGAATAACTTCGCGCTCTCGCGCCGCCTCCCAGGGGAGAAGAGGAGGATGAGGAGGAACGGAGCCGACTCGCGAAGCGCGAAGCGCGAATAACTTCGCGCCCTCGAGGGCGCCCTTGGTTAGCCAGGCCCCTCAGGGGTGTGGGATCTTCTGGACCCCCTGAAGATTGAGGCCTCCTGGAGGCCTGGAGAGCCGTCGGAAGGGTGTCTCGGGCTGCGCAGGAGCGTGTTGGACCATTCTTTACATTCTGGGGGTTCCTTGGGGTCGTCTTGGGCTGTCCTTGGGCGTCTTGCGGGCCCCCCGGGAAACCGGGAGGCGCGGTACCGGCCAAATGTCAGGGCAATGTGTGGGATCTCCGAGCCGGAGTCCCACTTTGAAAAAGAGGGAATTCTGGGAATTCCCTTTTCTCCCTCCAAAATCTTCGATCTTCGAGGGTTGGAAGCGGAAAAACACCAGAAGGCGAAAAACATTAGAAAAACCATTGGAAATCAACGATTTTACCCTCTGTGAGGGATCGGGGTTCAGGCCGTCCCGGAACGCCTCTCGGACC